CAGAAGTAAACGATCAAATACCTTTGCAAACTGTTGAATGACTGTTTACAAGTGATATCATAGCACAAAACAATTCCGTTCGCCGATCGGTAATATGACTGCGTTATAGTTCGGAATCGCTCCTGTCCACCGGTATCCCATATTTGTAACTTCACACGTTTGCCATCTAAAAAGATTATTGAAAAATAGAGTAAGGAAGGATCAAGAATCACGGGGTGCTGCTTTTGCTCCATTTTTATTTTTGCTGTAAATCAGCGCGAAAGAGCAGCGTCAAAATGATGCTACTTAATTGGACCAAAACAACAACAACACTAGATGAGTAAGCGCGTTCCAGAGCTGGTTTTGGTCATTGCTTCCAACACAAATATCGGAGGGGCCATACTGCTTTTCCTCCACTTATCCGTTTGAAAAAATAACTAAAGAAAATTTTCCTACCTATAATAAGGGTTTTCATAGTGAAATCTACGCCTATCGTTGTTCCCTGCCTATCAACATAGGTGCCATTTCGAAAACGTTGAACCACACATCTGAAAGATTGGATAAGGTTGACATACGTGGTAAAAAGTTCTGTAGCTCTCTAGAAAGAGAAATTATGAGTAGTTACTAAAACTTCGGAGAAGCTAAAAATCAAATGAGGTCAGCTTTACGGTTTGTTCTGCTTGTGAGACAAGCTAATAACAAAAAAAAACAAAGGAGAGAAAGAGAGGACTGCTGACACGACTTCAGCACGTCACAGGGCAACAAAATTTCGAGGAAACATGGACTTGTGAGGAGTCAAGCATGAAATTTAGGAAACAAAAGCCAAAACAGTCTGGACTTACGTTTTCCCTACTCCCATGTCTCCAATAAGCACAATCTTGAATAAATAATCAAAGCCATCATCTCCATCCATAGCTATTTGAGCGCTGGCACGAAAAATACCAGCTAATTAGCAATAATCATATATAAATATCCTGATCTGAAACGACTATAAGTAGGAACAGTTAAATAGTTCAAGATGGCTAAATGTAATAACGTCACGCGCAAGGGCAGCCACATGAGCGAAAATCGCAGCAATATCGAACATTTGCTCCGTTCTTCATCGTTGTACACTAGTGGGTAAGACATTGTGCGTATTGAGGAGGGCCCAAAGAGCGTGTTCAAACATTTGGACACGACGCCTTATTACGTCTTGGACTAAGTACCGTAACCAAAAACCAATGAAGGCACACAGCATAGAATGGCCATACGTTCTAGAGAGCTATTGTGAAGCTTGTTCGCTAATCGTCTCAACAGAGATAGGTTGAGACCACATCTTAATTTGTGTAATCGATAGGCTGGATACATAATTAGCTCAATAATGCATGAAGCTGAGGGTGATGAAGGATAGCCGAGCAAACGCCGGCAAACAAGGCCCAGCCTCCTAACAACCACGCATAATCCCATTACACTCATAAGTATTCCATTTCCTTTCTACAGAACACATTACGGAAAGAGAATTTCTCCACATTTCATTTCCAAGGCGGCCGTAATGACTAGCACTCGTTAATGTTACATTTTACAATTAGAATGGTTGTGCCTATTGATACGACGCTAGATTGGGAGAGGTGAGCAACTTTAGTAGGACTCCATAAAATTCGATAAGCAGTGAAGAACACGACGCACACCCAGTATGCAACCAACTCATTGATTCCACGCCATTCCCTACCTCAGCAGAGAAGGGACAAAAAACCGAACAATTACTCAGTAACGTCGAACGAGTAATTTTAGTGAACTGGGCTGTTGACGTCGCGTCTTGCGAGGAACTAAACGAGTGTAGCAAAGAGGAGAGACGCTCGTAGTCCAGCCTCTACCGCAGGCAACTTCATCGTTACTTACTGAACTCCAAATCAAATGCAGTCAGCGGTCAACAGGGCGACTCAAGGACAAGACAATTACAGTCCACAAACCATAGAGCAAACACATATTAACAAACAGACTTGCGCATACCCATTTTGGGCAGAAAAAAGGACACTACGGATCAGAATGGAGGGCGCCAATCTACCCGTAACGCAATTACAATACTTGTCAAGTGCGCCTCTGCATACATAAATATATTACGCGCTTTATTGCTACACCAAGCACTCATCAATTATCCAGAGGTCTGGACTCTTGAAGGTAGTCTGTTGCGAGTGCGAAGAATCCATTCTGTTGTTCCAGCAATGAAATATTTGCCTTGATACAACCTTTTTGATAACAAGGATGGCGTCGTCTTCACGAGATAGTGTAGCAGTACAGCACCCATTAGAATGGAGTGAATAAAATTCCCGCCCCTTCACTTTTTTGCGCAGCTAATTAGACAACGTTCGCACAAGAATTTCTATAGAACCTCTCTACTGCAGCGTAGCATCACTCACAAATTATGAATAATTTATTGGCTCTTGCTTGCTTCATCAAGTGAGAAGAAATTGACTGCTGTCGCTTTCCATTGACCCAATGGACTCAAATTACGAGCAAACCTGAAAAGCGATATGCTTCAGAGTTAAGAAACCTATGCGTATTAACAACATCTCATTAACAACCGGAGTAACACATACGTGACGTTTGAAACGATGACATTATTTTTGTACTTATTTAGAAGTTGTGTCATAGTAGCATCATATGGAACAGAGTCATTCATCCGTACGAAGGATGCGACCGTAAAATAGATACACAAAACACTTTGCACATCTTCTAAAGAAAAAAGTTCAAGTAGAAGCTTCAAGATGGAATGAAAAGTAAGTAAATAGCGAAAGAAAGATAAGGCCTAACTCGTCATAAAATTCCTTGCCGATATGAAAGACGAATGCAGAAATGACAAAATAACATCATTAGGATGAAATCGGAGCATATCCAGTTGTTCACTAGTGCATCTGCAAGAAATGACTTGCTAAAAACTAAGGATACTTTCGAAACCTCATGTTTAAAGAACAGAAGAATACCATTGTTCTGTTGATATAGTTCAGGCCACTAATGGTAACTCTGTGCAATAAAAGTGAAGAGGGCATAATGAAGTGAGCATCTGAGTGCCCAAAAAAGGTTCACCTGGTGAAGCAGACGAAGGGGAGTTACAAAAAAGACCATAGCCTCTTCTAATTGTGAGCATAGCAGTTAACAGCTTTTTTATGAGTAAACCTGCCCTTTAGACACATATTGATTATTCCGTGGAGAAGCAAGATCTCGTGATATGGCAAAGCACGCTATGGCATCGTCAAGAAACAGGTTCACAGTAGTAAATTTCGACTGCTGTTTGAATGTCTTTCATCAAGATGCGCCATACCGTCGAAGAATCTCCCAGCCCTGCGCCATAATAAATCAAAAACGCCGAAAAGTACCATGTGCATTACCCAACCATGTCGAACCCACTTTGATGCATACTGTTGTTGGCGCTCCGAGACTTACGGGAGTCACCGCCGGCGACGGTAAATTCTACAAGTTTCTACTAGTGAGGAATCAGAGGAATCGCGACGTGAACCAGGCTACAGTTCAAAAAAGTGACTCATCGTTAAACGCGCAAGGGCGCTTTCATAGTCAGTTGTTCGAAGATGACGATATGACAGTCAACTATGAAAGCGTCCAACGTAGTACAAACTAAAGTTATAAATGACCAACCTGCGTCTAGCTAGTTTTGCTTGTTCAACAAGAATCGCCGATGCCACCACACTCATACGACTCCATTCCTCGTTAGCAATACATTCTCCAATGACTGAGGTGCCCTCAAATAAATTCCCATCAGAAAGATTCAGGCTTTTAGATAACTCAAGCCTCTCATGCAATAACAGATACAAATATTAACAAAAGAGCAGTTCACATCGCAGAAGTGATATTGCAACACCAACCTCGTTAGCAGCTAGAATGAATCTTTCCAAATTATACGCCTTTTCATACCACAACTGATAAATACCTTGTGACAAAAATGTCCCCACTCTTCGTGTCAACTCGAAACTGGGAACAACCACTTTAGGAGACGGGAACAAGCAAAGATATGGATTAGGCGCTACCTAAAAGTACATTATCAGTAAAAGAATAAATGATTCAGCACTGATGAATCCCTTTTGAGACGCGCCACGCATTCTCTTTCCATTTAAAAACTGTACAAATCAGTGCTATTATACTTCACAGCTGGTCTTTTACCAAATCATCGACCAGGAGAGCCGGAAGGATTGGTTCGCCAAGACGGAATCAAACGCGACATTCGACCTCTAGACGGTGCACGTGGGAAGTGAGGCCACTTTTCAGTTCAGTGATCACTCGGGTCCAAAAAAGTATACTATTAGATGCAAAAAACCTTGAATGCAATACAAGGAAAAACATAAAAATCTATTCCGCTTAGAAGCGAGAAACTATTTTTTGTCACGCCTACCAGACTACAGTAAAAAGAATCTCACACTACTACGCATCACTGCAGAGACTTGAACAAAAAAGCAGATGGAAAAAAATTTCTACGGTGGGGCATGAGTTGGTGAAAAAAAGAACTTCAAAAACAATAGCAACGATGAGCAGAGTTCTTGCATGGATCACCAGATTCGTCTTAGCCTCTTACATATAATTCTACGATTTCATGATTTCGTTATGTTGAATTGCTGAGTGGCTTCACTTTTCCAAATGAACGGGATTCCGAACTCACGGGTCTCCGACCGGACTCCCTTTAAGATTACTGTATCCGAAAATACATGGTCCCTTATTCGTCTGAAGTGGAATACACTTGATGCTTTTCCTCGTAGGTTACAGGCACTTGCAGGTACATTCCGCAGTTGAGTATGCAGGAATTATTGCGCTCGTAAACAACGCTCGCGGTAGTTCACCTACCGGCAACGAAATTTGGCAAAAAACTGCTAGAAAATTCTACAGCCACAAGCGAGATAACTGCGGCAGGGTTACAGCCCCTCCCCTAAAAGTCTATCATTGGCTAGCCCTTCCTCTGATGTGATGAAATACGAAGAAATACTTTGAAGCGATGGAGCCAGCTAATGAGATCCCCATAGTGGCAGCGACCCCCCCCCCATACCTTTGGTGCGCAAAGAGCTTTTCACAGTTCTAAACGCTTTCTTCATCCTGTGGCTTTCGTGCCGACATGAAATCGAGCAAATTGGTTCGTCATGAATGCATAAACGGCCGTGAGCCGACACTGTCTTGTGTGAATACCATAGTTCTGGATAGTCTGATTGGCGACAGTTTCGTTTTTTCGTTTTTGGTTACTCATCGCTGAGCTCGTAGGGTACGTTGGATGATCATATTCCACTGCTTTTTTTTCTGAGGTCCCAAAGTTTGAGCTTCGCAGGATGTTTCCCATCATCTTCATATGTGATGATCCATTCACACTCTCGTACGAAGCTCGCGACACTTGTCAGCTCCGAAGGCTCATGTCCTTCCATCGTGTGATCTACTACTTGGTAATTTCGACCAACCTTGTAATAATCCTTACCGAATCAGGCTTATACACCTCTCGACAATCTCCACGATGGCTTTTCCCACAAGGCACGTTACACGAGTGAGTAGGAGGATTAATGTGCGAAAGTGAAAGGTTGTGGTGGTTGGTCTACCAATGAAAGAAAGGTTAAAACTGTAAAACGCTCTTTGCGCACCAAAGGTAGCCACGAATGGCGGAGGGCACAGACAGTTAAAGAACGGCGCCTGGCTCGCTCCAAATCCCAGGGAGGGAGGTGAGAGCTCTAGGACTAAGCCTTGTAGGAGGGAGGGACTTCGAGGTGGGTGACCA